TTAATAACACAATAGTTTTACTCTATTGCACCGGTAATTAGATTTATATATATCTTTGTGATTACAAAAAATCATTATGTTTATAGATATATACTAGATCGTAAAAAATTTGTTTGTAAAGCATTGACTAAGAAAAGGAAGTGAATTTTGAGCTTACTGATATGTTACCACTAGGACTTGCCACCTGGAACAACTCCACCGGCTAAAGCATTCTCCGGGGACAGAAAATTTCAGAATAAAATAGAACAATAAAAGTATCTAATATCAAATAACAAAATAACTTGAGAAAGTTTCCATTATTCATTGGAAAAGAAAAAAAGGAAAACAGAAAAAAAGAAAAAGCAGCAGTACACCATAATAGTTTTGAACCATAAGGAGAAAGGAAAGTAAAATGAAACAGGAAAAGTCACTGAATTGTGGTTTAGCTTGAGGATGGAACAGAGGCTCATTATTTTTTGACAGACGTGAAAACGAAAGCATGGTGCACATTTTAGGTGATGATGGGGCAGAGTTTGCTCGTTGGGCCAAGGGTCTTAGGGTTAGAGACAGGTGGCAGGAGGGAAGCTGGGCCATTCTTAGCAGTTCGGCACTTCAGCTCGGCCAACCAATAAACCATGGACTTCAAATTGATAATTTAAACCCATCCAATGGACAATCACAGAGGAACTCACACACTTATAAGGCCAACTCTTTTCCATATGTAGCCCAAAGGCTGTCCAAATTCTACTTTAAGACTGACCATAGTCCATCAACTAACTGCTTCGTCCAAGTGGCTGAACTTCGTTGCGCTTGAGCTTATCCCATGGTGCTACATGCAACTTACCAACGCCTTTTGCCTGGTTGCCCTTTCATCTGCTCACAATATGGCAAAATGACAGCCAGGCAACTTCTATCATGGACACGGAACACAATCAGGCTTGTGCTAATAAAGAAGACAATAACCTTAATGATACGCGGACAACTTATTTATACAGTAGTCACTCTTTGTGGGTTCTGGTAAGAGGAACTTGAGCCAGGCAACACCTCCATTGATAGTGCATCACGATACTACTGAAAAAGTGAGTGAAATCCATTGTTCAAAGAGAGGGGTCCAGCTCTAAAGATGGTCTAAATGACTGGGACAGAACAAACCTTCCACAATTGCACCACAAGTGCCTAACAACCTTCTAAGAGCGATATATGACAAAGTGAATCGGTTGTTGCAGCTAATGTGCTACTCAGTGAAAAGGTGTGTTTTTCACCCTTTTCTTTCTAGTGTGATCCTTCAAAAATGTCAAAGGTGAAGCTGTAATGACATCGATAAGACATTCAAATAAGATTTCAGAAGACTAAAAGGAGAATGCTAATCTCATCCGCTAAATGACATAAAATTCAAAATACAACAGCTACCATAACAATAAACTAATACACAAACAACACATGAACAGAAAAAAATAAGGCCCGCCTAACTTACTTTCCCCATTTCTATTACACGTTAACTATATCTCCATAACAATAAGGACTTCTGATAGACAATACAGGTTCATATTTGTAAAAGCATCAATGAGTGCGGACAACAAAATGAGAAAGAAAAAACAGGAAATTAGGACACTATAACAAGAAATGTAGCTGGCTGAAAAATGAGAAACACCACAAATATAATTCATATAGATTTACAGTAAATTGAGGTTGTTAAAAAATGTCATTATGATGTTAGTGAAGTACACACACAAAGAAAGATCAGCTAAATGAACTTAATCTTCTGACATTGTTTCTGTTTTCTTAATGAAATAATTTAGATTCTTGATAAAGGAGTTATCCTTTCAACTTTCAAAAGTCCTCAGTCTTAGACTCTTAGTTGCAAGAAAAAAGCATAAATTCTTGCTGTGATCTATTATGAAATGAGTTGCATATTATATTATCACAAAACACAACAAACTTACTCACCTGAAAGCTAAGATCACAGCATCATCTCCGATGGTGACCGCACAAATTGCCTGACAATGAAGGCAAAACCATAAGTTAAGCCCCTGAACCAACCCCAGAATCGCTATTAAGCCCCTAGACTGTAATTGATGCATATAAGCCCTTGAACTCGGGGATCAAAGCAATTAAGCCCTTCTTCTTACGCCAACTTAA